TTAAAGCATGTTATATATTTTTGCTAGTCATTAAGTAGGCAGGATGCAGGAAAATTAATATTTAAATCAATTTTTTTCTAAATCGTATTTTGGATTGTAAGAGACCTCATGCACTAATTATAATTAGATACAGCATTCAATCTCGCTACAAAAGTTTAACTATTAAATATTTAATATTAAAGAATTCGACTAGTTATTGAGAGAAACTATAACAATATTTATTTCACTATATTTTTATCATCCAAATAAAAGATCATGCAAAAAATTGTATCTAAATCCAAGGAGGGAAATTGCCAAAAATAATGTATCATGCTTGGTAATGTATGATTTTAAACATATGTTTTAAAATGTTATACACATGTCATACATATGTTTTAAAATGATGCTTTAATACAATAGTTTAACTTTCAAATTTTTCAAAATAACCTTCTTTGAAGCGATAGTATAATTTAGATAAATCTCAATTACTAAACATTTACTTACGTTAAAACAATTACAAGACACATTTTTTAAAGAATTGAAATTTTCGCAGTGAGAACAGTACTTTTTCTTGATATTTTTATCAACTTTTAATTTAAACAAAAACAAATTTGAAAATTTATCTGCATTAATGTTAAATCATATCTAGTTGAACTTGAAACATACTAAGTGAAATTTAGGCGATAAATTTGATCTTCCAAAAGAGTCTGCATCACTTGAAAAACGTTCTGCTGAGTACCATAAACTCTTAAGTACCCTTACGCGAACGTTATTATTAGCTGTTGTGAGAAGGGTTGCAATTGAAGTTAATGGGCAGTTAATTTGACAAACGTAAGGCGAGTAAGAAGGTAAGCTCTTACTAGAACTGAAAAGAATTATTATAGCTAAAGTCAACAATTTTCAATTACGAGTTTCTTTAAAAAGGTGTGAAGACTAGTCAATTATTTATGAATAGTATTATATAAGTATTTAAATTTATCAATCAGGAAAGTCTAAATTAGTGAAATCTATAAATGTAATATAGATGATTGCTTTATGGTTTTTTCAGTCTGTTATCCATTTATTCGTTTCTTTTTTTATCCATTAAGCTCCAAATCGAAATGTTTTTGAATCATATTTTCTGAAACAGTTGACAAATTTTGCTTTCATTTTTTAAAAAACATTACACAATTAGTAAAATTTTGAGATTTCGGAAATCTATCAAAATTTAATATTATGTGACATCCCTTAAGGAAACAATCTTAAAATTATATTTATAAAACAATACTTTTATTCTGTATTAATGAAGGATTATTTTTGTATTAAATTAGTACAATACTGGGAGATTAGTTCAAAAATATGTTATGATTACAAAGCGAAACGGAATTAGTAAAGTATAATTAATGAACTATTTATCTTACCCCTATATTTGTTAACAGAAAAATGAGTATCTACTAGAAGATTTTCGAACTTAAAATAGAATTATTAGTGAGTAAATTTACCAAATTGTCTTCTTTAGTCAATTTCAAGATTATGTTCAATCCAGTGATTTAATATTGAAATTTAATTTAAAATTAATTTATTTTAACTTTGCTTTGAAAATATGATACAAAAATATATCCAGTTCTGATTTTACTACATTGGTTTTCAAACCAAATGAGTATTGTTCAATTCAATTATTTTATTTTGAAAATGCATTGTATTGTGATATTTAACAGACAAAAGTTAGCTGCAACATGTGGATTATTTCATTAACACACTTTAATTGAAAAATATTATCACTTTATAAATGAATACCTAGAATTTTAATTGCTTGATGTCAAATTTTTTTCGATTTTGCTATAAATACTGAAATATTAACGAAATTTATTAAGAAAATTTATAAACATATTTGATATAATTTCACTGAATTGCAAATTTTATGCAAACTAAAATTCTAAAGCTAAATTTATGAAATGCCAAACCAATTACGAAATGAACTCCTTAGTCTCAATTAAAAAAAACGCAACAAATTATTAATGACTATATTCTGTTTATAAATAAACTAAAAATTTGGGATGCTGGTAATTTTAAGTAACAAAATGAAACTAACGCTTAAAAACAGAAAGACAATTGCTTAAAAGTGTTTTGTAGTATTTCAATATATGAATATTGCATATATTAAACTTGAAATACAAATAATATTTCCAAGTTTGATATATATATATACATACACACACCGGAGAGCCATTACATTATTACCACCCTGCTAATAACATGTAGGACCACCTTTAGCCCTCAAAGCTGCTAGCAGCCACCGCGGCATTGATTCCACTAAGTGCTGATAGTTGGTCTGAGGTATCTGGTACCAAGCGCTCACCAACTGGTCCTGTAATTCCCTCACTTTGCGAAGGGGTAGCGTGGCAGCACAAATTTCGTTTTCCAAGTAGGACTACAAATGCTGCTCTATTGGATTAGGGTCAGGTGAATTTGGGAATGTTCCTCGACGATTCGACCCTTATGACATGGTGCATCATCCTGCTGGTAAGCACCATCCCCCGCAGGAAAAACTGTTGTTATGAATGGGTGAACCTGGTCTGCAACTATGTTCAAGTAGCTTACAGACGTCAGGGATTGTTCTATGAATATTATGGGTCCTAATGTGCCCCATGAAAACATTGTTTCTGGGAGAGAAACCATGAAAACCTGGGCAAGCCCATTGTTATAGATTGAGGGNATATATACTTATTATTAAAAGAAAAGATTATTAGAATCTTAGCCTAAACGAGTCATTTCAAGACAAAAAAAAATTTTACTTTTTGAAAACAATTTAAAATTACTTCAAAAAGTAATATGCACTACTTGCATACTGAAAGTATTGTTTACTGAATAATAATTATGAGTTACAAACATTATATTTATAATAGCAATGACACATTTTCATTATCATCAGATCTTACTATCTATATTAAAAGAATCACACGTCTGGTGTTGAAAAAATTATGCTTTCAAATTACTAATGAATATATTTTATAACACTATTCAAAGAAATGGTTAAAATTAGTTGTTCAAAAAGCTTTTTGTGTACTTTTAATTCCCTATTAATATTCATGCTTTATTTTTTTTGCACAAATTCTGATTAAAAACATAATTAATGTATCAGAAAATTGCACAGTATACCTAAGCAATTGATTTTAGTGTTGAAAATCATTAAAACTGTTATAATTTGCAATAATAAGTGTAGTTAATTATATATTTCACGGAGTTTACGACGATAGTAAAGCAATTTCGTAAGAGGTTAATGAATTTCCTTAAAAAAAACTGCATCTGGCGAAAATGAATGTTGAATTTAAAAAAAAATCGAAGTTGATAAACAAAATCTATAATTTGTAAGTCAAGCCTGAGAAACAATTTTATTTCCATGAAATATGCTTAAGAAAACAAAGTATTTAAAAATTATACTATAAATCTTTAGCGATCAAGTATGAGCTGCATTTAAAAATTAATTCAAGCAGTACAATGAGTTAGTAAATACCATTTTATATAGTAATTTTGTGGTGTCCATCTCACTTAAGGTTACCATTCTATACAGTAACTTTATCGTTGAATTAATACAATACGAACCATTATGCGGAAATTTATATTTTTAAAAACTGACTATGTGTGTGAATATCAAATCTAAATATTTATATTTTAAGCAGTCTTTAAATTGGTTAGTTTGAGCAAATGAATTATAAAAGTAAATATTTCTTTTATATCATTACTATCTAAATAATATATGAAAAATAATCTTCGAAATTTATTTTAAAACTGTTCATTTTCTACTCATTTTTATCTGTAAATAAAACATATTAAGATAAAATTTATTAGCAAACCTATAACATAACAGCACAGCTTTATAGTGTACATTATAAACTTCTGTATAATGTAGTGCAGCCAATGATAATTTTATAATTTGAAAAGTCAAAGTTTCTTTAAGAATTAATAAATTAAAAGAAATTCAATCCATTTTCATTAAGAAAAGGAAATTGTATTCAACTATTGAATATAAATTAATTATACTTTCAATTGAATGTGAGACTAAGAACTCAAGTTACAACCGTAGGAAGCAGACATTTTGCTAACAGCCTCAATTTCTGACAGCCCAAAATTGAAATATAGAATCGTGTAATTCTTCTTCAAAAATCAAATTTAACTTATTGACACTCTTTAAAAAGAGATTACATCGTGTGCTCCCATATCTCCCAAAAATCCTTCGGACCTTTTACAAGTATTGATGTAAGTCTTAATGGCTTGTACAATGTTTACATAACATTTCAGTTAAAACAGATCATCATTTTCTAAAGATGTGTTTGAGTAAAATAATAACTAGAATTTAATACTTCTTACAACATTTAAGAACATTGCTTACCATATAAAAGCATATTATATTTCATTTATATTTCTAATCTTTTTCAAATGTGGTATGCATATTTTGAGAAGAATACTTCTATTCTAATGGAACAGCATATGGTAAAACAAGTTAAGAAAAGTTAATGCAATATAAAGTTCAAATTCATGGCAAAATTTGAAAGGTGAAACAAAGTTAACAAAATATGCCATTGAATATCCTATGTAAGATTCTGTTATGTTCTTGATATGAGCACCTTCTCAATCAGCTTTAGGTAAACAAAATGGTCGGTGAAAGGAGTTCTTAGTTAGTCATTTGCATTTTTCACATCTATACTGCTATTCTTACTGTATTTTCCATACAATCTCTCATAAATATTTTTGCTTGATGAATGTTTTTAAAAGCAAGTTTACTCTTTTATTTATTGAAATATAACACTAATATTTAAATATTTCTGCATTTTACTTTAAATACATTATTTTTATAGATATAGAATAAGCCATCATTTTTATAGATTTAGAATAAGCCGTTAGTCAAGTGCTTGATATTAAACACATAATTCTGTAACAATCATAAAAGTCGAGTCGTTCATAGTACATAATTAATGCAAAATAATTAACTTAACACATAATGAAAAATTTAATAAAAATAGGAGTAAATAATTCATATTTACCTTATAATCTGATGTCTTCAAGTTGGCACTCAATATCTACAATAGAAAAGTAATTTAATTAAAATCATGTGTGATACAGATAAAAGGTTTATTATACCATTAAAATGATAGATGGAAGTCATGTAAATTGGCAGATTAGCAATTTATATCCCAAATAGTAGAGTAGGGTTTGTTTTAGTGTCAGCTACAACCTTTATCCCAAAGCCCAACAAGGTCTATAAATGATTAACAAATAAACTATACAAGCTTGAAATAATGTTAAATTTAACTATGCTAGTTTACGCACTACGAAGTTCGTATAAAGCTTGCATAAACAACCTTATTATATTGAGACTGAATTTGCCTTTACAAAACAAGGCTTGAAAAATCTTTTGTAATCGAAGATGAATCATAATTCGCACATCAGGAGTAGAAAGCATTCGTAAACAGTAGAAACTTTCACCTTCTCGAGATTTTATTTACAATTTACAGAAATCACTGAAACAAGGTTTATTTGAGCAGGCTTTTAAATACTTTCCTTAACACTTTGAAAGGGAAGGTTGGTATGATCATTAAGTTTTTAACATAAATAAAATTTTGCATTTGGAGCTAGAACTAAGCTAAAATGAAGAAAAAAAGAGACAAAAATTAGGTTTCAGCAAAAGATAAAATAATGAAGATTTTTTTCATGTTTTTATTCAATCTTTAAGGAAACAATCTTTGAATATTAATATTTCTACTAAGTTTAAAATAGGATTATTTAGTCAAGAATTTTATGCTAACCAAATAAAAATGAAAATGACAATGTTTTGCCTGCTATCTGGGATATATTTTGTAAATAACTTTTTAGTACGCAATCCTATTCCAAAATCGAGAGAGCAATTGTACATATTAAAGTAATTTTAAGCTGGTAAAAACTGTGTTGTTTTAGGTTTCATCATGCCCTTTAGTATATAATACAATCAGAGGTGTCAGAGCAAACTACAGTCAGAGGTGTAGCGAAAATAATGGGTAGCTGGAGTTACACATATTAAGGTAATTTTAAGCTAGTAAAAACTGTGTTGTTTTAGGTATCATCATGCCCTTTAGTATATAATACAATCAGAGGTATCAGAGCAAACTACAGTCAGAGGTGTAGTGAAAATAATATGGGTAGCTGGAGTAACACATATTAAAGTAGTTTTAAACTAGTAAAAAATGTGTTGTTTTAGGTATCATCATGCCCTTTAGTATATAATACAATCAGAGGTGTCAGAGCAAAACAGTCAGAGGTGCAGTGAAAAATAATGAGGGTCGCTGGAATTACGCTATTGATATCGGAGAAGAGCAAATAATTATTTTTGGACTCAATAAGTAGTTTGAAAAAACTGAAATGCAATTAGAGAACTTCCGAACATTTAAAAAAGTTCTTATTAATTAATTCTGAAGGATTTTCCTAAATTTAATAAAAGATTTATTTTCTTGAATATTATAAATGAGCTTATCATCTAAATGAATTTGTTTAAAATACTAATCAATATCAATTTGTTTCGGTATGTTATAACAATAGATTCTGATTGTAAGCTATAATTAGCATAATCATTAAAAAGTTATGACTAGTTTTTAAGTTTAAGCTAGATTTAAAATCTGTTCAAAATACCCATAAGATATACTAGCATCAAGAGCATGACGATGTCGGAAATTAAGCATCGCTGTGTTGCGTAAGAAAATACTAATATTTCACTGTAAATCACGAAATTTTTCCAATTTACTAATTCTCTTTGGATCATATTTTCTAGTGAATGTTTATAAAAATACATAAAAATACTTTTATAAACATCTTCTTTAACAATTTTGCTACCCAAAACTTTAAATAATCAGTAATTCTCAAAATGTAAGAATGGTGTGACTGGTGATAATATCGTTATGAAAAATTATCGCGATAATGTTTTACTATTTCTAACGCTTTTGGTAGTTAGCACAATCTTATTATTGTATTCTGACAACGATATTGTCGTTCTCGCTTATTATCATTTATGAAAATTATAACGAATAATAACTCTCTAACCTATTTAATGATATATAACTCTATTCGATAATTGATATGGTTAATTATCATCGTGATATTTTCATTGTTGATAAATATCTCATTCTTGATATTCACATGGTGTTAACGTCAGAATAAGTATCGTTAAAGCGATAGTTAAAAAATAGAGAAAATTCACGATGCTCATTAAACCAGGTAAAAAACCAACTCTTTAACCATCTTCCATTTTTGGATGACAATTTTACACAAACATGCTAAACTAAGTTCAGGAAAGGCAAGCATGCTAAACTGAGTTCAGTAAGGGTTCGCGCGAGCATGCTATGCTAAGTTCCGCAATGGTATGCAAAAGTATTCTAATCTAAAGTTTAGTAAAAGTTTAAACTATAGTTAAACTTTTACTGAACTTTATAGTTTAGGTTAAACTATAAAGTTTAAATTAAAAATTGAAGTAAAAAGGGGGTCATTGTAAATTAAATTAGCAAGCGAAGCTTAACTTTAAACAGTGTTAACTTTGCAACAGATTTTGTCCCCGAAATTTTTGTAAATTCATCAGAACAGATATAGTAAAGCTGAATCACTGATGCATCCAAAATTTATAAAAATACTCATAATATCATCTCCGCCTAGCGCCGACATTACGCAAGAAATCTCTTTTCCAACTTCCTTTTAAGTTTTTTCCTCTAGGATGACATTTCAAGGACAAAGGTGCTACTTTTAAAAATTTTTAAATTCTGTTATCGTAAAGACAAATTTATTTAATCAACAAGTCGAATAAATCAAGTTCATTAAATTAATTAAATCGAATAAATTAATTTATTAAGTTAATAATTGTAAACTAAATCATAAAATATTCTACCACTACGAAAGATTAACTGAACTTCAGCACTTCCAGAAAAAGCAAAAAAATTTCAAAATAAAAAGCTCCTCTTCATAAAATTCCATTCTGAAATTTCAACTAGCTCTCAAATGATAACTGCTTTTTTCCTTTTTCGAAAATAGTTCTTTTTTCCAGCTATCGTATCAGTTAGTGCATTATGCTCAGATTATCGTTTTCAACGATAATGCAAGCATCTCCCTTAATCTGTATTTTAGAGCCCTAGTCAAAAATGAAGACAAAAAAGTATACAAATTATGAGACGCAGCTTAATATTTAACGGGGGGGCGAAGAAAGAAACAAAAGCATATCAAAGTTTCTGTAGAAGAAGGCTGGATTAATGACAACAAAATATATTTGATTGATAAGGTTACAGAAAGCACTGAATCCATATCTAAAGCCAATTGCCGAGGCACATTCAAGTGTCATCTGATCATTTTGATGCTTTTAATCTCGCCTTCCACAGTAGTGAGGCAATTCATCAGATTTCGATAGCAGTTAATTTTGACCCTTAATGTAGATATTTTTCAGATTTCTTTTTTTATTAGGATCCTGAAAGTCATCAAGGGAGATGATTAAGGAACACCGTGTAAAAAGCCTTGGGAAAAATGAGATAAGAATTATTGTTTAATTTAATTAATCATTATTATTGCGATTTTTTTTAAAAAAAACTACTGTGCCTCAATATCCAAAAAATCTAAAATAATAAGAGCATAGTAGCGTCGCTTATCAGATGCTATTGTAACGAAGTAGTTATTTGTAATTAAATTATATTTGTCTAAAGTTGATATAGTATAAAATTTAAGGAAATAAAAAAAAAATTAACGCGTTATCATTGTGTTTTCCTCCCTTTTGAAGAAACGAAACAGATCAAAATACGAACTCCGTTTCATAAATCATAAGTGATGAGTTTACGAAAAAAAAGTCTTTCTTAAAAATAAAAATGCCACCCAGAACTTATCTGCTGACTTTCAAATGAGAACTGTTTTTTCGAAAGTCGAAAAAGAGTTCGTTTTTTTTTTCAGTAAATGTATAAGTTTGCGCATTAAGCACATATTATCGTTGTTCAGCTTTTGGCCATTATATAAAGCTTTAATATGTCCACAAACTTAACCCCCAGTAGAAAGACTGGAGGAATGTACCCCACGAATAGGAAAGATGGGGGGTCGCAAAAGCAAAGAAGGAACATTACACTACCATAAAGCCTTTCTGACACGCCATAAAATGCCCATAAATGCCAGGCCCGGTCCAATTTCTTTTGGATGGCGGACAGTACCTCACGAGACTTTTCTAACAGAAATGCTTCAGAGAGACGCACAAGTAACGATACTTTAAGTTTAGGATTTTCAGTTTTAAGGTGATTTTCTTTTCTTTTTTTTGATGATATGGATTAAGTCTTTATTTTTTCCACCGCCGAAAATTTAATCTTTATTTCAGTTGGGTGAAAATATACTTTATATTCTTCTCTAGGTACTGAATTAAATTCGTTTTACCGTAAATCAAGAGAAAATACTTTGTCGGCAAAATACATTTCTTTCTATAATGATATTTCAAATAAAATCACTTCTCGTCTGAGCTTGATAAATACGTTTCTAAGACTGGATAAATTGCTGATACCAATATCAAAAGGATAATTTATAATTTTAATAACACCTCGACCCAAGTATTATACAGCTCCAAGTATGTCATTAATTCATATGACATTAAACAGCCGTAGTATTTTAAAAATTCTTTATATGCAAAACTTTATGATTCTGTTTTTTCGGGGGGTATGATACAGTTCAGTTTTGGACTGTTGACAAATTAAACGTTGAAAGAGTATCCAAAACAATTTTATTTTATGCAATGGTAATTGCTGATACCAATACCAAAAGGGATATTTTATAATTTTAACAACTGATCAACTCAAAATTAACGGTAGTAAATAACGGACAGTAAAGATTCATAGAAAAATGTACTGTTTTGGACTTAATGTTGACAAATTCAACGTTGAAAGGGTATCCCAAACAATATTATTTGTCCCAATCTATTAATAACGTTGCAGAGAACGCTACTATGTTTTTTATTGAAAAGTTGAAAGAGATCTGAAAAAAAAAGCACCGGTGGAAAGAGTACCCAAAAAGCATCGTAAAATCACTTCTTGGAATACTAGATTAA